ACTACAACTTTAATTAAGGGTATAGAACAGGTTAAGGTAGTAGAAACTGCGAGATGATTAAAAGTTATAAACTGGAGACCAAAGAATATCAGTACAGTTTTCTTGATGAATTTAAATTATTAAAGCTTAATATTTGCAGGATAAATGTAAAATAATGAGCTGAACAAGTTTACATATGAGTCTAGGACAGATTATTTTAGTAAAATAAATAGTTATAAGAGTTTTTAGATGGACAAATTTTTTGTTAATTTTTGTGCAATGGATTTGTAGAAAGAGTATGCAGATTTACTTACTAAGCAACATACAAATAAACTTCTATTATATTTCAACTATACAAATATTTACAATATATATTATTTATTATTTTTTAAAACAGTGAAATTTTTTGTCAAACTTTCTATTAGATACTTTGTAAAAAGTATTTGTAAAGCTTATAATTTTGCATTGTAGTTATTACAAAAATGTAATAATAAATAAACTCTATTAACTTACTATATTGATTAAAATTTAATCTGTCTATATTTTAATTATAATCAAAAATCTACTTACAGTTTTATTAATTTTAAACTTACCTAATTAAAATTATTTAAATTAAAATACTTTTTAATAAACTATCTATCTAATATTTCTATTATAAAATCCAGCTTCTAATTTTTTACAATACCAATTGCTTTTATTACAATTTTACTAACTTATTATTATATTGATGCATTTATATTAATTCTTCTTTGCTTAATAGTATTATTTCTAATGCAATAACTGACTGCATAAACTCAGTTAATTTAGATTTCTCTAACAACTAAATTAAAAAACTTATTTAAAATCCAATAACTATTTAGACTTTAACAAAACACCTTTTTATCTATTTTTGCATTACTTAAAACTTAATCTTAAAAAGTCATATTTTTTTATCTTAACTAAAACTATTCAGAATCTAGAAATTTTATACAAACTTGTTTCAACAATTACGATTAATATTCTGCTTAAAATCAACAAACAAATTTATAACCAATTATAGAAACCTTAAAATCAACAAACAAATTTCTAAACAATAATAGAAACCTTACTGCATAAAATTTCAAATTAGGAAAAAAACAACAAATAATATACAAATATGTCTTTCATATTGTGTAACATTTTGGTCAGTCAACCATGCTTGATTTACACTAATAGATAGCCGCAGAGATCGATGATGAAAATGCTATGAAAGAAAATTCTGTATTTTGTGTATGTATTCTATCATACCGATATGTATTGTGTTCGTGTCATATGATCAATATGATCCCTAAAATAAAAATCGTTATAAAAGCTCTTAAAATTTGAAAAGAAATCATTTATAATTAATATATTAATATTTATATGATAAATTCAAAAAACGGATAAGTTTTAATTACTATCATCTTGAATCTTTCGTGAATGGTTGCCTTTTAATCAATTGTTCCATATCTTTAATGATGAATATTATTCTTTTTTTACTTTAACTAATTAGAACATTTCTTTTTTTTCTTTGAATGATAAAAAAAAAAAAAACTTGCCATAGAGTTTTAGAGAATAAGCAAAAACAATACTTTAAGACTAACTACAGAGGTTCAGGTTTAATCAAATGGCTTATATTACATCAAATCCTGGTAAAATACCAACCTCAGGGTGTGTAGATGCTGCCACTTCACGCGAAAAAAGATTAAAAACAATAGCTTCTGATATATGCCAGTGAAAAAAGGTACAATAAAAAATCTTGTAAAATACTGGGTTGGTTAAAAGTCCCTAAACAGGATGCTCTTTTACCATCTCCACTAATATTTAATTTTATTACTTTTTTATACATACATATACCAGTATATTATATTACGTATATATTTATATAAAAACATAATAACATTAAATATTAGTAGAGATGGTCCTGTTTAAGGACTTTTAACCAACCCAGTATATAATAACTAATCTTTTCTTCAGAAAAAAAAAATCTTTTTACTTTTAATAAATTAAAAAAATTTTCAAAAAAATTTATTTGCATAAATCAATTCAAAGTTATTTGTTACTTAAGATAAACTCGGACCTTTATAACTAAATTTGTATTTATGTTTTTTTATTCACATTATTTTAGTCATTGTTATCTCAGAGACCGTGCACTTACACTACTATAGCATGTATTAACTGTCGTAAAAAACATAAAAAATGTTCGGAAGCAGTTACTTGTACGAACTATGCAAAACACAATCTCGAATGTATTTTTACTAATTCGGGCAAAAAACGTGGCCCAAAATTCAAATCTAAGGTGTGCACCTATCCACATTATCTGAATGCACGTGATAATAGACGACTACCCTATGGAACACAGTTCTTTATAAGCTCCACACAAGCTCACTCACATGCACAAAATGCCCATCTCATATTATCAGAATATTTTAATAATTTAAATCAAGAACTCGGAACTTCACAGTCTAATAGCTATAATGCTATTATCCAAGAAATAGTTTTCCCTCCTCAAGCAGATTTAAATGCTGAATATACCGCAAATATAAATAACCAAGATACTATGAATATTAATTTTATTGATAACCTGTCACCTTTATTGTATAATAGGGAGTTTTCTAATTTATCAAACAGTCAATATAATGGAATGCAGTTATTCACCATAGACTCTACTCAAGACAACTCTCCTGCATAAAATATTCATATCACATCTTCAGAATATTTTAATACTTCTATTCAAGACTAGTTTAGAACGCCACAGCCTAATGGTTATAATGCTATTATCCAAGAAACTATCTTCTCTCCTCAAGCATATTTAAACTCTGAGCATACCACAGCTATAAATAATCAAGATACTATGCACATTGATTTGATCGATAACATTCCACTTTATTGCATAATAGAGAGTTTTCCAATTTATCAAATGTTCAATTTTCATTCGACCCTCTTGATTCTGATGGTTATTACATTCATAATCAATACAATAGGATGCAGTTATTTTCTATAGACCCTATGCAAGATAACTCTCCTGTACAAAATATTTATTTCACAGAATATTTTAATAATACAAATTAAAATATTACGGTCTAGTAACTATAGTGTCATTATCAATGATATACAATTTTTATTGTATAAATAATTATCTGACAGCTTACTATGATAATGCTTGCCAAATAGCTATATATTATTTGTGCATAGTACATATATGTGTTTAAGATAGCAAGTGAAATCAATTATAAAATGATATACAAAGGTGGTGATTGTTTTTCTTTTCAAAATATTGTCAAAAACTTTTTAGTGCAATTGAACATAAAATAAGATTATAGATAAAATATATATGTTGTGCCTCATATCCTTTCCTGCGTCAGATCGAAGATGACGCACCTCAGATGCCGATCGTCAGGTGAGGTGCGTAACTTCTAGATCGGTCACCTGAGGTGCCTCAAACCGTAATATGACGCAGATAATCATTTAACAATAGCGATTAAAAAAATTACGACATTTATCATGCGAAAAGTTTGTAATTCTATTAATTTTTAATCAATATGTAGTAAATGATAGTAAATAATAGTAAATGATAATAATATGTTCATAAGAATGTTTCAAAGATGAATTCAAGTAACTGAACGTAAATTGGTCGGAGCCAAATGGGTATATAAGTCTTTTGCCTGGGTTTCGTTTATTTTTTGGCCTCTTGGCATTACAAAAAAAAAAAAAAAAAAACTTGGGCTCGTTGAGTCCTTTAACCTTCATTAAATATGGAATACACCTTCATTAGTAGAAACACCTTAGAACAAATTGTAAATAATTATATACTTAACCTTCCTGAATCAAAATGCGAAAAAGCTTTAATCAACTATGAGTTTTTGGCAAAAATAAAAACTATTTTATTAAACCCCAAAGATCATACATTATATAATAAAAATATTCGCAGCTGGGCCAAGAGAAAATTCCAGCTTGAAGAGATCACACTTGGTGATCATAGAGTAATTGAAAAAGAGACGGGTAATCCTGTTTTAGTAAAGAAAAAATTTTATGAAGTTCTTTGTCAAGTTTATAGTGAGGTTACACAACATAGAGGACAAAAACAGACGTAGAAGTCTGTGCACGAAAGGTGAAGCTGGATCAAACAGGATATTATTGAAAAGTTTGTCAATAATTGCACTATGTATGTCATTCGTAAGCCTGCGTTTTACTCTCTAACAGTCAAGCCAATAATAGCTAATAATTTTTTGTCATGTATCCAGGTAATTCATCACTTACTTTGAATAATTTATATTTTCATTTTATATTTATAATTAAAATTTTTTTTTTTTTATTACAGATGGATCTAATTGACTTATCTTTTGATCTGGATAAAGAATTTAAGTATATTTGTCACTTAAGGGATCACTTTACCAGGTTTTTCTGGGCAAGGGCCCTTACTTCTAAAAGAGCAATTGAGGTTGCAATGTACCTGTTTGACTTTTTAATTCACTTGGATCATCATCGACGATTCTACAATCGGATAATGAAAAGGAGTTCATTGCTCAAGTCATTAAAGAACTGATTGAGTTATGGCCATCTGTAACTATAATAAATGGAAGACCCCGCCATCCCCAATTACAAGGGCTCGTTGAACGAGCAAATGGGATATTGCAGCAAAAATTAGGAAAGTGACAAAAAAATACTGGTCTTAAGGACTGATCATTTGGCTTGAAATTTGTTGTCGCCATGATGAATAATTTATGATATAACTCTCATAAAAAAACACCATTTGAACTTGTTTACAGCTGTAAGCCACATGGAAGCAGCATCTTGGTGAATGAATTATATAAAAAAAAAATTTATAATGAAGAGAAGATTCCAAATACGGTTCAGATCGAGATCGATGATATATTAAATTTGGACAATGATATAGAAGGCATGTTTTTTTTTTATTGGTTTACTTGTTTATTTATTTATTATTTCTTTACTCATAATAACCTTTTTGATCAAGATCTGAACCAATCTAATGATTATGATGATTCTTTGGACAATATTGATGCTGATACCAACACCAACGTCGATGCCAACACCAACATCAATGCTAACACCAACGTCAATGCCAATGTCAACACTAATGTCAATACCAATGTTAATGCCAACACCAATGTCAATGCCAACACCAACGTCGATGCCAACACCAACGTCGATGCCAACACCAATGTCGATGCTAACACCAATCTTGATGCCAACACCAACGTCAATGCCAACACTATTTTTGATGTTGATATCAATGTTGATGTCAATGTCAATACTAACGTTGATGCCAATACTATTTTTGATGTCAATACTAATACCAATGACAATGGTAATAAGTAATTTAAATTTGGCTTTTGTTTTATTATATAATAGAATCTAATTCTTCAGACTAACTTCCGAATACAGTTCTAGCTGATATCACGAAGCA